AGGGTTTAGGGTTGAGGGTTTAAGGCTAAGGGTTTAGGGTGCAACATCTAATGTAGCCTAGACCCCAATATTACGGTATTTTGGGGATCCTAAGTGGTGCAAAGATTTGCTCCATCCGCACGGGATGTAGTTTCGTTGTGGAGGGGGTTGAGGATTATCTGTATACATACATGAGATATGATACATACATATATATATATATATATGTATGTATATACGTATGTGTATATATATATGCATATATATATATATGTACGTATATACATCTACCTCCATATTTCGGGTAAGGGGCGCGCATGTGGCATACGCACAGAGAATGCAAATTCCAGGCGGGAATGTGCGAAAGTCGTTCCTCTGAAAAAAACCTCAAACCTTAGCGAGGACATCCTTCGGCTACTTAGAGAAGTGAGAAGCCTGAAGAAGTGGGACAGGGGTTCAGGGTTTAGGGTTTAGGGCCATATGAGGATGGAGCCATTGCGAGGATGACTTCAGAGGAAGCATAATAAAAGCCTGGCGGTAAAGCTTTTGTAGATGAAAAGGTCTCCTTGCTAGTGATGAAAACCCACCACCAGCCCGTAAGAATGACTACACCCCTATGATATAATAGCACTTTATTGCCCTGAGGTATGTATTCTTAGGAGGAGGTGGGGAGATTATTACCCTAAACCCTAGGCCCCAAAACCCTTAATTTTTAGTATTCTTAGGAGGATTATGTCAGGAAAGGTTCATCTTCACAGCTACCCAGTTCGTGACGTATCCAACCACTGCCCCTGCCACAGGCAAGGTCCAGGCTCTTGGGACATGGGCCCAGATCCACATCTGACCCAGTCCCAGTATGAAGCCAAAGTATAGGCCTCAGGGTTAAGGGCTTCGGGTTTTCGGTTTAGGGTTTGGGGTTTGGGGTTTGGGGTTTAGGCTTTAGGATTTGGGGTTTAGGGTTGAGGTAACCAAAAAAAGGATTCCCGTGCCAAACCCAGCGCAGTGGTTGCCGAAACCGGCTTTCAAGCTCCTAAATCCTTGCAGATATTAAAAGAATCCTTTTCCAGGAGCGTATAGACATCACCCCTATACACTTGGTACTACCCCCCACCCAGGAACACTCTACAATAGGGGTACTTGTAACATAAGGGCCATATATAACCATAAAAGAAGAATTATCCAGCTGTTGCTGCGTGAGGGCAGTACCCATCCTATACGCCATGGCCCACCTGACATCACGAGGAAATCCAGCTCGCGGCGGCCAACTCGCTGGAAGAGCTCTACAAGAACCTTTAGGGTTTAGGGCTTAAGGTTTATGGCCAGTGGATGGTGGAAATCTTGTAGCACCTGGGAACCACACAAACTGTAACTCCTCAAGGTGGTGGAAACCCTGGTTCAGAGACGGCAAAATTGGTACTGTAAAGTCGACAATAACTATCCACATCAAGTTGAAGTCTACTTGAGGTACCTTATACCATAATCGAGCAAGGAACTTAGCACTACAATATTCATACTTATTCTAATAGACCTCTCTATCAATTTCAACTGCCTCTTCAGGCCTCTACACATGCCCGAAGGATTGCATAAGGGCATATCAGCTGGAACATTCTAGAGGTCACTGTTTGATATGTTGACCTCTCGGGGATGAAGGTGCCTTCATTAAAATACTATAGACTTTAGGGTTTAGGGTTTTAATACTCCCCCGCACAGAAACGCGTAGTAGGTTCAAGGTCGGCAAAAGCAGCAAAACAAAGTTCCAGCGCAGCGATCGAGAACCCAGGGAGCCCAATACACCTTAATTAAGGAATATAGCTTAAATCATATTCGGAACCCTAAAACCATTTGGGGGTTTCCCAAAATTAGGGGTACCATTTTAGGGTCCTAATAATAAGGAGAATAGTATTTTTTCTGTCTGTATTGGGGTACCCTTATTTTGGGAAACTACCATTTAGGGTATATTCCATAATTAAGGGGTATTGGGCTCTCTGGGAACCTGCACGTCACGCAAGAACGCATCGGTCACCACCTCCTCAAGGTCCAAAACCTGCGAAACGTCTCCTGGGCCACGGATCGGGGTTTAGGGTTTAGGGTTTAGGGTTGAGGGATCGGGGCTTGGGGTTTACAGGTGTCACGTGCAGGGCTGAGGGCTTAAAGGGGTTGAGGGCTTTCCAGACTGGAATTCATTGTGGTGAAGCTCAGCAAGGAACACTGATCTCGGAACGGGTGATAATATGTTCCCATATTCGCTACTGCACCCCAGTATGTCAACAGAACAAGAACTTGATGGGAGCTGCTGTCGTTGTGTTTTCGTCTCCTTGCCCACAAAAAGCAAAGATCCCAAAACTTTGAACCGCCGGTATCCCCTTAATTAACCACTAAACCCTAAACCCTTAAAACCCTAGACCCCTAAAAGCCTAAAGCCTAAACCCTTGAAGGCCAGGTGCTTTGCAGCGCTCTCACCACGCGGCAGAGTGCCCAGTGTAGGCAGGGCTTCAGCAGCCTCAATTCGTTTTCAAATGCAGGGTTCAGGGTTCAGGGCTTAGGGTGCAGGGTTAAGGGCCCCGGGTTTAAGGTTTGGGGTTCGGGTTTAGGAGGGTTCAGGGTTTTCTGGTTCTAAGGCTTGCGGCATCAAAGTATCGCGATCCCTTGAACCCGTTTCTGGGGCCCTAGGACGAGAATCATAATCACGGCAGGGCTCGGGGAGGGGTATGTGTAGCCCTCCTTGTAGGACATGGGCTTAGGGTGTAGGATTTAGGTTAGGGCTTAGGGCCTACCTAAACCCTCGAATGTAGTTCCTTTTCGGGTTTGGTATGGCTTTGTGGTTAGGACTCTTGTTAGGACAACCAAAAAGATACTACACTGGAGGGTCTAGGTAGGGCTTTGGGGTAGGATTTAGCATTTGCGGGTTGGGGTATGGGCCTGGCTACTCCGGCCAGTGGATGCGGGGAGCGTGCGACGACTCCTTTGGTGGCTGCTGGACCCTACAGTGGGCTCCATGCCTAAATCCTCTGCTCCTAAACCCGTTTTTAGATCTATGAAACCTTCAGTTTAAGGTATTTAGTGTTGAGGGCTTACGGTTTAGGACATGAGTGCTAGATTGCTCTGGCTGGAGATGGGAGAGGATCAGAACTTTTTGGGGAAAGATCATCTCAGCAGTGCTGCAAACCCAGAGACCCTGAAACCGAAAACCTACATGCCAGAACCTAAACCTAAACCCCATACCCTAAACCCACGCCCTAAACCTAAACCCCACAACCTGTACCCAGAACAGAAGGCAAACGCCTAAGCGTAAACACGAAAGCTGAATCCCAAATCCCAAACCCTAAAACCTGAATCTCAAAACGTAAAACCTAAAACCTGAAACCCCAAACCCCCATAACCTACCCTAAACTCTAAGTAACTCCATAAACCCTTAACTAAATCTAAATTCCATGCCCAGGAGCACAGCCCAGGCTGCACCATGCGGTGCCTCCTCGCGAATGGACTCCTCCACGCATGCGAGCGTCAACGAGTCAAACATGGTAGCTCGTGGGATGAGCTAGAAAAGGATAAGGTTTAGGGTTTAGGGTTCAGGGTTTAGGGTTTAGAGTTTAAGGTTTAAGGTTTAGGGTTTATAGCGTTTAGGGTTTATAGGTTTTAGGGCTTATAGGGTTTAGGGTTTAGGGGTAATGTTCTAGTGGCTACTTTTGGGCTGGGGGTGATTTTTAAAAGCTCTAGTCATTCTACTTTTGGGATGAGACCATATGGTGAAATGAAATGCGCTATAATCTGAACTCCTAGTATCCCCCTTAATACGCCCTGCAATGCTCCCGTATATCATCCCGTATAGAACCTCCTTTAAGGAGTTTAAACCCTAAACCCTATATAATCTCGTATATAACCCCCTTTAAGGAGTTTAGACGCTAAAACCTATAATCTCCTATATAACCCCCCTTTTAAGGAATTTAGACCCTAAACCCTAAACCATTGTTGACTGTAAGGCCTCGATACTGGGCAAGATGAGCGTGGCAAAGTGCGGGGCGTCGAGGCGCGAAAAGGCCTCTGGAAGGCTCAGGAGCTTTGCTGTCACGATGTGTGTGAGGCGCGATGCCATCACGTCGGCCTTCGCACAGGGATAGCGGCCGCAGGCCATAGGTTCAAGATGAGGGGTAAATTCTCTGTATCCCCCTATTGCGTACTATGCATATCTGACCTGTCCCGGCATTGATAATCATCACCAGCAGAGCACCCTATACAAGCCAAGTTTCATTTGACTTTGTATTCTTCTTTTCCGTTTGATTCCGCATTATCTAAAAATATGGAGGCAACGAAGCCTAAACCTGAACAGTGGACCTGAAATGGGCTTCTCAGACTAGTTATTGAGGCCCCTGGACCCTATACAACAAACCAGGTTTCCGACTCAAGCTTTGCAAACGTGGCATTCACACTCATGCAAATCTCAGGGTGCCCTTGCATATGGGGTGGGGTCAGAATGGTGGCCCCTTTGGGATATTCTAGACATTAGGGGCCGGTATCATACTATAGGGATCCCAAGATAAGGACCAAAATCTTGACCCCACCATGTGGGCCTCAAAAAAATTCCGGGCCTCTTTCTGAGGGCACCCCGAGGCATCCCCCTATTTATGGAAACTCAGGCATCCTCGGCGGTCAAAGGCGTGTACCCTTTAGGAGCCAATTTCGGTATCACTCCTCAATGTTTACTAGTTGGCGGCGGGTGCAGAATGCCCTTGCATACCTCACCATTTGTCGCACTTCCTCCGGTGCATCACGATAATGACGTCCACTCACGAGTGCTTCCATGCAATTAGTAGTAGTAGTAGTAGTAGTAGTAGTAGTAGCAGCAGCAGCAGCAGTTGTAGGAGTAGTAGGAGTAGCAGTAGCAGTAGGAGTAACAGCAGCAGTAGCAGTAAAGGTAGCAGTAGCAGCAAGAATAATAATAGCAACAGGGGTCATAATAATTTAATAGCCATGATAAATCCCTATGAATCCCTAGCGTGCCCCGTTTTGAGCACCTTCCCCCCTCAGGGCGCCCCAAGCGCCTTGGTGGGCACAACACCTTGCCAGCCAATAAGACCGTAGGGAACATGCTTCTTCCGGTAGAAGTCGAGGCCTGAGAATTCAGATTGTAATCTTTAAGGTTTGGCGGGGTCCTTATTGGGATAGGTTTAAGAAGTATAACATTGAAGCCCTGCTGGGCTTTAGGCTGATAGGACTGCAAGTTGTAGTCAACCCTGACCCAGCTCTGGGGATGATTGCTGGGTTTGGGCTTGCAGGCTTAGAGTTTAGGGTCATGTCTTGGCGGTTCAGGGTTTAGAGCTTAGGCTTATGGATTTATGTGGGGTTTGCAGGTGTAATTGAGTAATGGAGAACCAGGTGGAAATGAAGTTATCCGGGAATTTGCAGGGATTCTGTGTCAGGGCCGAAGACATTCTGACACCGTTTACAATCTGGGTTGTCCTCAAGATTAGGGCCCCTTTTGGTTGTAGACTATATTACGGCACCTAATGTTCAGGGGTACCAAAATGGGACCATAATTTTGGGAACTGCCCATATGAGGAGTGTCCGGGCATGACGTTGGTCATCATAAAGCCTTTCATAGTATCAGTTGTGTTGACCACCTTGCCTGTAATAGTGCTATAGTAGGAATATAGGAGGACCCTAATATAGTCCTTACTATCTATTATAATCACCATAGCTGTGTAGGGGGTCCACCTAAAGCATCAGGTTGTTGAGTTCGCCGCCGTTTAGGATGCGCATAGGGTGGTTTCTCAAAACAAAGGGTGTGCAGTCAGGGAGGCTACAAGGAATTCTAGAGGAAAAGTCTCGAAGAGAAACGCGTAACAGCTGCGTGGCAATAACATTGAAACAGGAAAAAGAATCCTAGTGCTGGCCCAATTCATGATGCTTACACACTCTAGCTAAGCAATTTCAATGGTATCCATCATGATTGGAAGCGCAGTGCAAGGGATGAAGGCCAATAAAGCACATAGTAGAAGTAAAAGTCGAAGTAGCCATATGAACTCTACCAGCTAATATTGGCTGTCCAACGATGAGAACAGCAAGGATAGATGGCAATGAGACTAATAATCATTCGTTAATGGCACACTCACACTAGCTGCACCCTAAACCCGAAACCCTCAACCCCTAAACCCTAAACCCTCATGGCAAAACAACCCTAAAAATTGACGGCACGAAAGCTGCACTGACCTCCCCACAGGCCTGCATACTGGATGGGATAGAATAGCATCTGCACGCTGACCCAGTTAGTGAACCAACCGACAAATGCGGCAACTAGTGGAATTGTCCTTGGTTGCAAGGTGCAGATACCCACGCCTACTTTTCCTTTTGAGCCTAGAGCCCCTGGCAACTCCATGAAAGCAAGAGGCAAAAAATGAAAAATGAAAGAAATGCGGAACAAGCGTCAGGTATGCCATAGGTCTCGAGCGGATCTGCGACCAACCAAGTGGCACGACTGCTTTGCTGCGCTGTCCGCCCATTCGCGCCCACAGAAGCACTGAAGGACGGTATCCTGCAATCCTCACGGTTTAGGGTTTTGGGACCGTGCAGGGCTTATGTCAGCTTATCTAGGTTGCTGTTACATAGATTCCTGAACACTTACGAATATCATAATATCACGCTGTCATCTTCCTTGCAACAACAGTCCATGACCCACAAGGAAGGTCTGGTCAAACGATCTCCGGGGGTTTTGACACCCTGAACCACTTATTTCTGAACCCCTAAAGCTCGCCATTAGCCTGCAGTCCTCCTAAGAAGACCTCCGCCAAGCAAGTTTGATGAAGAAGTCCACATGCTAATGCGCGGCTGACCCCGTGGTGCTCCATGGTGGCGTAAGGCAACCTGCTCAAGCCCCACCAGAGAGAGTTTAGGGGACATGAGCTATAGTGTAAACTCCTAGTATCCCCCTGAAAAACCCAAAACCCCCTCCCCTATATAATCCCTTATAGAACCCCCTTATAGTCCCTCATCTAACCCCCTTTAAGGACTTTAGATTACAGCTCATATAGGGTTCATAGGATTTGTGCTGAACCCCCCCAAGAAAAGCAGACTTGAAGAAGAACTCCCGGAAGAGATCTCTGGGTTGAACAACCCATATGAAGCTAAGGTTATTTTCCCGAATTGGTGTGATTCCCAAAAAGTAGGGGTAGCAATTTTGGGGGTCACTATAGTAAGGTTGAGAATATGTTGCGCCGTATATTGGCCCACTCACTTGGGGAAAACTGCGAATTGTCCCCTCTTCCCTCAACCCTAAACCCCTACACCCTGAACCCCTAGACCCCTCAAACCCTATAAACCTCTAACCCCTAAACCCCTGAACCTCCTAAACCCCTTGACCCTAAAACCCTAGATTGCCCCCTTGGACCTTGAGGTGCCGAAGGGGCTGGCGGCCGAGGCCGCTCTGTGCAATGCGCGAGCGAAGGCACGCCGAGAGCAACATGTGAGCCATGCTCTAAGCTTTATGGGTTAGGGTTTAGGGCTTAGGCTACTAATAAAGAGAGAAGAACAATGATAATAATAGTAATATTAATTGAAGTATAGAACAATTGTATTGGTATTAAACTCTTTTGGGCTTTTGAGATTTAGGGTTTAGCGCTTTATGCTTTAGACTGTGCTTAGGATTTAGAGTTTGCAGTTTTAGGGTTCGGGCTTGGGGTTCTAGACTCTGCTTAGGATGTCGGGCATAGGGCTTAAGGTGTAGGCCTCAAACCTCCGAAGGGAGGACGAGGCCATCAGGCTTCACGTAAGAATGGTAGCGCCATAGTGTCCAACCCTGTGTTAAGGCTGGTAAGGTTTAGGGTTTAGGGCTCGGGTGGCTCGGATAGGAGCATCATAGGTCATAGTGACCGTGTAGGTAATGGCAGCAAAGGACTAAGGGAATGGCAATATGGGTAAACTCCATGGAGGCTTATGGCTACGTGATACAGAGGCTCTTGCGCCAGAACGGCTGCAAAGAGCGTCATCTTTGGCAAAACCAGTCTGGAGCCTTGCTGTTGAATAGCTTCCTTGAAGCGTTAAGCCCCTACCCTCCCCAAGACAAACGTAGAAGCCCATACAGCCCCCCTTTTATGAAGATAGTAGTCTTTATAGAGCTCTTTTGGTCTTCCATGTTAGTTTGAGGAGGTGCAGTCTTTCGTTGTTTCACTTGGCGGTGCCCTCGTTGTTGGCTGGCATGCCCAGCGTTGATCACAGTTACAAAGAGTCACAGACCAGGCTCTGCCTACACCCTGCTTTAGGGTCTAGAGTTTAGGATTTGGTAGTTTCCCAAAATAGGGGGGCCCCAATAAAGACCCTAAAATTACTATAATGCTTACTATGGGGACCCCTAAAAAGGTACGGCTAATTTTGGGAAACCCCCATTGAAGGTTCAGGGTTAGGGTTGGTTTCGGGTTCAGGGTTCAGGGTTTTATCCTAAGCCCAGATGAGCAGGGCTTTGGAAATGTCATACTGATTGCATTACCTCGCATGCATTGTTGGTGCTAGAACCACGCAAATGCAAAAAGGATGCCCTAAAGGGATCTAAGTCTGTATCTGGGGCGTATAGTTTGCCCGGCTGACCTACTTTTCACATGTTACGCCGTAAGCGCTAGGTGACGACCCCGCATCTCAGCTTAAGGCCTATGTCTTCAGCCTTGGAAATACTGCCACACAGTTTCACGTTTAGGGCTCAGGATTTGGGAGTTGGGGCTTAATTGGGGTGTAGGATTTGGGGTGTAGGGTTTAGGGTGGCTTGGGAGCTGCCAACATCCCACCAGCAGCTTTGGATGCTTCTATGCAAATGCTGAAAGCGCCCTTGAAAGGAGTAGGGATAGACAGCGTGCGTGGCTTTGTGAACGAAACTTCTGAGGGTTTGGTTAGAGAGTTTTGACCATAGCTCGCATGTGTGGAGGTCCGCGAGGGAATATGAATTACCTTGTACATGGGATTACAGCTGCTCAATTATCCAAAATATCCAAAGAGTTAGCTGTACTGAAGTTGAAGCTCATGAGAATGGGGATACAAGACACAGAGAGCAAGTCGTTCATGTCCGTCGCAAGACCGACACAGAAAGACCCACAGATTGCAAGTTTACAGAAGCCACGTCAACCAGAGATGCATACCACTGAGCATTGACCTAAGGCACGGTAAGTAGCAAACCTGCCCGAGAATGAGACTCAGTTCTTGCTCCATAAGGTAAAAAGACCCCCACGTCGTCCTTTAAGTGCACCTTCTCAGCTCGTTATTCTAACTTCGAAGAAAGTGGCAGAGCTAGCTTTCGGCGTAATTTGAAGCCACCACCAACACCACAACTTCCAGCCCCGTAGTTACATCAAAAACCCGAGGGGAGGAGCGCTTGGCAGTAACTCCAGGTCAGTCCTCCAGCAACTGGAGCTTCCTTGTAGCAGAAAGGGGAAGTTAGGGGATTGGGGATTGGAGATCCAAATTTAGGAAACCCAAAGCCCCAAAATTCAAGGGCTTAGTGAACAGGCTCAGACAGTGTGAAGTCAGCTGCTTTGAGGGTATTAGAATAGAAAGAAGGACAGGATAGGGTTGATGGCGTAGGTTGGTGGATGAAGGAAAATTGTGTACCACCCAGGAACCTTCAACACATCGTATTTCGCAGGGTATGGCATATAGAAGGTGTCCACTTTACCACAGTGTGACCCCTAGCGAAGTTCAAAGGGATCAAGGAATCCACATCTCCTGTTGAGCATGAGCTTCGGTTTCGATTGGTGGCAGCTGGTTTTGTCGGGGAATACGAGAAATCAAAATGAAAAGCTCCGCGCCGTGCTGCGGAACCCAGTTTAACTCTTAGACACTGAAACTCTCTCAATTACAGAGCTCTTGTTCAAGCCCATAGTTTAGGGTTTAGGGTTTAGGGTAAACCCTAAACCTTTAACCCCAGACGAACTAAATTTTGCTTTACCTGCACCATGTCCGGGGAATAGTCGAGAAATGCTCTGCGTGCGGAGCCATTGCTACGGTTCATACTTGTAAGTGTACTGCGACAAAACACCCAACCCTGAACCATAAACACACGCTAAACCCTAATTAGTAGTTTCCACGGTATTTTCCATTATCCCAATATAACCCATATATAACCCCTATACAACCCCAATATATACCCTAAGGGTTAAGGGTTGCTATGTTCCCTCCCACAAACACGGAATCTGAAAAGGTGCCGCCTGAAGGATGTGACAGTACTCTACAAGGGGCCCCATGTTTTGCCTGATTGTACCTATAGCGGAACCAAAGCATTGCACAGGTTCCACCTAACCCATGTAAGACTGACCCCTCAGTGTGAGAACCAGAACTGACAAACCTCCCACACAGCAGTACTACCCACAAGACAAAGCAGCTGGACCAATCTCAGCCTTGATACTGAACGAGCCCTTTCCAAACCCTAGAACGGCCCAAAAAATTGTGAGATGCACCATCTGTTTTGACCCACCCCTGAACCCGGTACTTCTACCGGGCGGTATATGCTGACTTTCGCTGGCATGTCATCTTGAAGAGGATTTTGTGGGCTTAGCCGAGGCCGAGTCTTTCTCCGGGTAGTTCCCTGGTTGGTCTTAAATTGCCCCTCCTGATTCCCGCCAACAAGAATACAACTCCCCTCTGCCCGGTATAAAGAACACGTCCTTAATGATGCTCAAACAACGTAAAGATGTCTTTCCAGCGGTAGTGGATTCTGTAGTGGAGTTTCAGTGTTGGGCAGAAGGATTGCTGCTCACCCTGGAGTCGAACCCTAAACCCTGAACGCTAAACCTAAGCTCCAAAGCTCTGAACCCATAATTCCCAATGCTGAACCTTAAACTCAGAGCCCTAACCCTCACTAAACCCTACACCCACAGCCCGCGCCAAACCCCGCGCTAAACCCTAAACGAAAACCCGAAGACCTAAACCCCTCTCTCAAGCCCTGAACCCCAAAATCCTACACTTACTGAAGCTTGAACCCGAACAGCACATCCTGAAGCCCTGCGCCAGGCGACTGCACCAAGGTCTCTAACATCGCCGGAAGATCCTTCGCACCATCCAGCTCCTTTGCGAGTTCTCAAGTTTTTGCAGCGCCTCTTTGGAATTGCAAGCAGCAGGAAACCTCACCTTTCAGGAGTTCGGGGTTTAGGATTTTATTGGTTAGTAAGGGATTGGGGTTGAGTTTTGCTTAATTTAGGGTGTGCGGGTCCCTTCAGGCAGCCTGGGGATGTAGAGGGATTATACAATTCAGCCCTAAAGCCTCAGCCGTCCAGTGATGTAAGGGCCTACATGATTAGCGTAATTAGGGCTTTGGGGTGCAATAATACTACTACTTTTTTTCAGGAACCTACCATGGGAAGGGATGCCGAGGTCCATCCCAAAAAAATCACCCCAAATCGTATAACCCTAAACCCCAAACCGTAAAACCCTAAGACCTGAACCCGAAGGCCGAGACTGCGCAGCACAGGCTACGAGGAGAGCTTCAGGCTTTCAGGATGTAGAGCTTCAGAGTGCTAGGGTTTAG